TCGGTTCGCTAAAAAGGGTTTGTTGAGGAGAGCAAACGCAGAAGAAGAAGCTGTTAGTGAGGCCATCGCCATTAGAGCAGAGAAGTGGAGAAGCGTAAGAGTCAACGATCAGAGAGATGGTTTTAGGGCCAATTTATACAGAATCTCTTTGGTGAGAACTCTGTAACAAAATCTCAAGCAATAAATGTGTGTCCGAAATAACAGACGCACACTTCTCTCGTTCTGTTTTCATTTTTTCCCATTTTTTTTTAATAAAGTAAGGACAATGAGTGTTTATATTAGGTTCACATAATTGTATGGCTTGTTTACTCACAAGTCACTACATTGTACTATGGATATATAGCAGTAACATAATGCAGCAGTAAGTAGCTGGAACAGTATGCTCTGATTAATATACACATTTAGCTGATTGGTTGAGCTGTAAATGATTAGATATAAAATTAAAATAAATTATTTTATTTTACTTATTTATATGTATTCTAATACATTATATATATATATTAGTCATAAGTTATAACATCAATTTTTAATTTTTAATTAAATTATTATTTTATTATAATACTAGTTCACAAATAATATAACAAATAAACTAATGGTATATATTAAGTTTTCATTTTAATATAAATATAAATATGTTTAAGAATTATAAATTTTAATATTTAAGTTATATTTTTATTAAAATTTATTTCAAAAACAATAGAACATATAAAAAATGATAAATATTAATATATATATATATATATATTTTATAGTTACAGAAATTATGTATATTTACTTTTATTGAAATGCTTGTATATATTATATTTAGAAATTATAACATAAATTTCTTTTATAATCTTTTCGAATTTAAATTATATTTAATTGAATTAGTATTATATTATAATATTATCTTAATATAATAGAATAAATAAAATAATGATAAATATGAATTTAAATAATTAAAAGTTAGTATAATTTGTTTTTGTTGTAATATAAAATAAATTGGTTAGTTATATAATTTTATTTTTAATTTTTGTAAAAATATTTAGAGATCAATGTTCTGAAAATACTCCGTTTGAGAGCATTGAGGGAGGAACATTTTGAAAGCATTTGCAGTTACTAAATGCCCTACTTAATGCTCTATCAACCAATCAAGTTTTAATAATAAAAGATATAATACTATTTAAAATGCTCAGCCAATCAATATCATTTGATTGTGGTCAAACCATATGTCTCTGATTGTTTATCTTTGAGAATCATGAAAATGAACATGGATTGCAGAAGCATTGATCAAAAGCCTGGTTTTGGAGATTGTTCAAGATACAAGATCCTGAAAATAGTTTACTATTGATGATTATATGTAAACACTGAACGAGGTGTTTAAAATTCACATTCATTATGGTTTCCTGTTCACTAAACAATAAACAAGAACATCATGTATATGGAGAAAGCAACAGACAAAACACAAGAAGACGGGCTCTCGATTTATAAGCTCTCAATCTGCATCACCAAGACCATCACTTCCATCGCCTCTCTTTGTGATTGCGGTAAAATGAGAGCTTGGTTTCTTCTTCTGCGATGATGTCACCTCAGCGTTTCTCCTGAGAACAGCTCCAGGTGATGGATACGGTCTCTGTTGAAACAGAGGGCCCTGAAACACAATTCCATCTCATTAAGTTAGGAACTAGATTCTGTGAGAAACTGCAATTATACATATGAACATAGTGAAAGAACAAGTGGCATTACTGTAGCAGTTGTATCAGCGGCTCGCGGTTGTACTCCTTTCAGTCCAACAACCCTACAAGATGACAAGGAAGCAGATCAATCCCATGCTATAATATGACATTTGGTATGTAATTCTCCTCAGTTCAGATGAAGTAACAGGAACAGTGTATAGATCATGTCGATTCATGAATTGGTAAAACAAAAAATGGTAACATTACCAGCCACCCCGTGGAGCATCTGAGTAAGAGCTTGGGTCCATCGGGTCCAAGTCATCATCCTCGGCATGAGCACGTTTTTTGCCTACTCCCTTTTTCATGGGAGGTTTTGAACTGGACCTGTTTCATCCAGCACCATTTTTCATGTGTAAGGAGTAAACCACCAGAGCAAGTAAAATGTAAACCTAGTACATGGGGAACCTCCTGGTTCACTATTACATGTGATGTGTTCAATCCTTATTTTCATTTTGATAATTGGTACATTCTTTAACAGAGATCATGTCCTTCCGAAATGGATTGTCTAAATAGTTGCCAACAGATATTAAGAAGAAGACAAGATATTACCTCTGGTTCAGATCCTTTTGACCAGCATCTCCTGTATTTGTGAAGTGGTTTAANCTTGCTGGCAAGTACTGCCGTTCTGGGAGATTGAAAACTCTGCATTCAATATAATATGAGTTCCCTTAACCAAAGGCAGAGAGGCATAAGTCTCAAAAATATGCAAGCGAACAAAGTCCGTTTAAGGTCTTGATTCACACACTATTAGATGCTTTCTAGAAACACAAAAAGAAACACTCCAGGAACGGAAAGCGAGCCACAGTAAGAGTGGTAGATTCTTCAATCATAGCAGTCTCTATGCAGCAATCTAACTCAAAAAGTAAAGAAAGACAATGGACGGATTCCTACCTGGTACAGTGGACACAATAACCCCAGTTCTGGACAAGGCCCACTCCCCAGCCACCACATCCGCTGCATCTTGGCAGCTGAGAGGGAGGATGCTCCCTCCTCCCATTAGCGGTATTTTGGGTGATAACGTTGTTAGAGTTTATGGGAGCGGGCTTCTGTAAAGAAGCTGGAGGTTCCCATTGCGATACATGTGTCTTTGTATTGTAGTAATACTTATGACCTGTGCATTAGGAATCAAAAAGGTGTGAAGCTCAGGATTGTAACCAAAACAACTCAAAATAAAGCAAGCATTGCATGTATAGTGCAACAGAGATTAGAAGACGCTGGCCAATTAAAGGGAGCACAAAAACTTGAACATTTCCTCTTCCCACCACAACCAGAAATGGGGAAATTTATTCATCGATTATGATGACTCAATGTGTGAATCACATACCAGATGTTTCGTCAAGTGTTTCAATCCACTCTTCTATAGGAGGCACATGTGGCGCATTTGAAGGGGCTGGAGGTAGCTCAAGAGGCCTTTCCCACTGGCATGTTCCGGTATGCTGGTTATAGTAATATGTAGCACCACTAGTAGGATCTTTCGCATCTACCTGAATAAAACAGAACCAGCTTAAGTGACTTAACAGCTATAAACACATCATCAGAACCATAAGTTACCATCCTTAAGCATTAAGATCTAAAGACTATATGTGTATGACCACAATGTCATAGGCATTTAGAAAATCTCAGACGATCAACGCAGTTTCACATCAGAAAAAAATTGCTGTACTTGATAGTGAAGTAAAGACAAAAAAGAAGAAGAGGTCAATTGTAACTCATTCGTACCCATCCTACTGGTAAGGTGCGTGTATTTGACGGTAAAGGTGAGCTTGTCTGTCTATTCCAACTAACCGCCGGCGTCTGGAAAGGGGAAGAGTCACAAGCAAACAAAACGTCAAAAGGTCAACAACAATAATAACATGAATTGAAACAAAGGGGTTATAACATGGTCAAGTCATAGCAGAAAAACGTCATCAAAGATTAGAATGTGAGAGATGGATAATTACATCTTGCCTATTGGATGTAACATCCCCTGTACCATCTCTGAGAATTCCCCTGGCTGTTAATTTTTGTTTGAGATATTCAGGCAAATTGTTTGAAGCATCGGTAGGTTCAGGCTTCTCGCTGGGCATGGAGTGGCCTGCGTAAGCAACTCCACCCGGTATACCATAACCATTTCCAACATCCACATTACCTGCTATGGAAAAAAATTCACTAAGTGGACTGGTTTAAGTGAATTTTCCAAAATGCTTGTGCTCGTAAGCTATGACTAACCTTCTCCGCAAGTACTAACACTCCCACGCTTTGACGCTGTTTCTGCCCGATGATGTGCAGTGAACTTTAGCAAATGTTCCTGAGTAAAAACGAATATGTATAAACTTAAGGTTCTACTTCTATTGACAACTTAACATAAAAGGCACTAGTTACAGACTTATTAATTCACTAGCAGCTTCATGATAAAAAAAAGAATAGTGAAACAAAACCTTTAGAGCATTGGGGTCAGCACGATGACGAAGAATGTCAGTGTTATGCTCAGATTCTCCATCTACTGAAGTCCCAGCCTCTCTGAAATTTGTCCAATTAAACACAAAAATGTGCAGAGAAACGACATTAGACCAAATTGCCACAAGAATAAGAGCAGTAAAGATGGATACCAAGACAAACCAAGAGAAAGACAGAACCTTTGACCTTGTATGATCTTCTGCGTTTCAATTTCCTGAAGGAAAAAAAAAACAAAAATCATAACACCAAATCAACATGGTAAAACGCTACTGAAGAAAGTGATACCAATTCAATCGAAGAAAAACAAAATTCACGTAACTTGTTCGCGAAGAACAGCATTCCTTGCAACAGATTCAATGTCTTCAGATTGATTGTAAGCAAGCGAACTTCCATAGCCATGACTAGAAGAAACTTGGTTATAAACGGAAGAACCGTTCTGCTGCTGCAGCTCTTCTCCCATTATTCAGCTCAAACACAACCTCCGAAGAATCCGTCCGGGAAATACAAACCCAGTTAAAAAAAAAAAACTCAACGAAATTCACTTCCGATGAGCGATCAAATTCATCAAAATCAAACCATGACGAGAATTTGCCAGAGAATCCGAGCCCTAGCATCATGTTTCAGCGATAAGCAATTAAGCCCATACATTTAAGGCCCATATTTAAAAGGCCCATATATACTTGGAATGATCGATCCAAGACTCAAAAGTAATGGACGGCTCTTTTCGTTAAATGAAGCCAGCCGAATCTGAGCCGAGCCGTGTTGGAAGGACACGAACGACCGATTCCTCTCGTTTACATGCTTCCGTCACGTAATCATTTCATCATCATTACATCCTCTAAATTTGCTGACGTCACCGCTGCCGTCTTTCGAATTACCTGAGTCTTTTGAGAATCATTATTTTAGACTGTAGAAATTTCCAACCAAACACTAACATTCGCTTGTGATAAGTATATAAATCTAATAAATATGTAAAGCTCAGAGCCGTGCCAATATTAATAGCATACATAAGCGATATAAAATAAAATGCCCTTATTCATAAAAAAATGTTTTAAATAATAAACATTATATATTGTTATTTAGATGAAAATTAATCAACAAATAGAATAATAGTTTTAATTAAAACATAAATTTTCTTCCATTTTTTCTACAAAATCATTGATCAACCTTTCAAAATCAATGTTTATTAGGAGTTCTTTTTCGATAAATAAAACATCAATTTTTCATTAATTGTCGAGCAACCTTTTTTTTTGTTTCTCTGGATTTTTAAGATTAATAATTTTTTGTCTTCAGCGTTTTTAAAGAATTTTTTAAAATCTAATTACTTAACTATTAATTATGGGCTAATACATTTTTTGTTCATTCTGGACAGTCCATATTACTACATAATTTCAAAATTAGGTGTATGTAAATAAATTATACTACTCTGAGATTAATAATTAATAAAAATATATGTTATTAAGGTTTTTCTTTCAAATTGATGCCCCTATGTTTGACACACAAAAATTGATGCCCTAATCTATTGTTTACTTTTTCTAAACCACCGCACGGCTCTGCATATAAAGGTCGTCTCATCAATGCACAATTATTTAACCTAATGATAATTCTAATTACTCGTTGCATCACACTAAAAAAGTGTCGTGTTATATACATCGTGTAGTATGTTCTAACCACAAATTGTATTGGTGATATTGGTCATAAGGTTACAATAAGTGTCAGAATTTTTTTTGAATAGAGTAATAGAATTATGGTAACGGTAATGAAAATATATAAATATAAAATTGCGAGTATGTTGGTGTTTTTCATTTTGTAA